AGCAGCTCCCCTCCAACCACCCCACCACCCCCAGCTGAAATAGAGAATGAAATAAAATATTAGATATTTAGCTATGAAGGCGTGACTTTGCAAAATGTAAAACTGCTTAAAAGTCTCTGACCGAACTGTGGGCAATTGAGATAAAAAGCTTAGAGAATGGGGAAGGCTTTTTAGCACGTAGAGAGGGGTGGGGAACCTGAAACTGCTTGAAGTGATAAAACTTTACGTAACTACTCTATAATGGTAAGAATAGGAGGTAAAACTAAGTGTCTATTTAGATAAAACAAACTGCAAAGGAGTGTATGCGTATTAACCTGTAACTGTTTGAAGTGATAAAACTTTACGTTAACTACTCCATAATGGTAAGAATAGGAGGTAAAACTAGATGTCTATTTAGATAAGACAGACTGCAAAAAGAGTATGTGTAAAGATAATTTTGAGCTTGCTACTTTCAAACTGTATAAAAGGCTATGTTATTTCTCGGCTCGGCGGAGTGCTCTGGGGGAGAGCACCTGCCCCTTTGCATTCCCCGGCCGTAATAAAGGTGCTTTTCAGATTGGCGGAGGTTTCTTTGAATCACAGCCATCATCTCCTCAGACCATCTCCCCTCCAACCACCATCTCCTCCAACATCATCTCCTCCAACCTTCTCATTTCCAACTATCTCCCCTCTGACCATCTCCCTTCTGACCATTCCACCTCTACCCATCTCCCCTCTGACCCTCTCACTCCAGACCATCTCCCCTCCAACCATCACCTCCTCCAACCATCCCACTTCCAACCATCATCTCCTCTGACCATCTCCCCTTGAACCATCATCTCCTCCGACCCTCTCCCCTCAGTCACAGTCACCCCCGACCATCCCCCCATGTCCCCCCTACCTGCACTCCCAGGACAGGCACAGTTTGCACACCCGCTTGTCTCCCTGTGTCCTGTGCCCTCCAGCTCCCACCACGCCTTCCCCTCCCTTTGCCAAGGGTGTAGCTGTTGGCACAGCTCACCCACACCCTCCTCACATCTCCCTCAATACCTGTCCTGAACTTTTACCCTCAAGTGGCCTGACATCATCAGTTAAATTCTCTTTCTGGTACAAACCCTCTGTTTGACAACACACATTAGTGTGTCAGAGTCACTCAAATACAGGCAGAAGGTGCTGAAATGGAGGAAACCATTTTCTGGTCTGTACTTGATCTGGAAAAACAAAAGGCATCTGGTTTCAGTCCCTTGAAATCACCAGGAGCTTTGTCACAGAAAACCAGATCCTCCAACAGAGGCAGGATCAAGCCCCTGCATAGATGCCAACAGTAAAAGACTCCTTCAGTTACCAAACCCAGGCAGGTTTTCTAATTCCTAAATTGCATCTCAAACCAATAGTACTTTAAAGAGATCACAGACTCAGTGGATAAATCACATCAGGACAAAGCCACAAAGAGAGAACAAGTTACCCCATGTGAGAATGTGGCAATTGGGGATTTTGTTTTCTCCTTCATGTAGGAGTTTGTTTTCGAGAAACTGGAAGCTGTAAACAACTGACAGTCAGCAAACGCTGAGACAAACTTGAAAAAGAGGAAGCAGTTGCTACATGTGGGAAAATTCCATAGGCCAGGTTACATCACTTGTGAAAGTCCAGGGGTTTGAGTTAAAATGTCACTTCAGTCCTTCTTGCTCAGCCCAGTCTGCAAGGAATTAAGGCAACAACACAGTGCTATGGAGTTAATGATGTCTCAGGGTCTCAAATGTCTTTAATGAGGTGGAAGAGATTCCCAAACTGTGAAGGGACACCAGAACATGACACTGGGCAGGAACTCAGTGCTCAGTTTTACAGGGTCAAAGCATTAACCTGAAGTCTGCAGCAAAACATTCCAGATGAGAGGAGCTTGGACACCTCTGTGAGCCACATCTGTCCACACCCAGCTACTGCCCAAGGAGTACACTGTCATTTGAGCTGGCTCTTGGCATGGATTTTCCCAAATTCATTAAGAAGAAAGTAATAAATCCCCACTAGAGCCATTTTCCACACCAATATACAGTGACTGTTAAAAACCACACATTTCCAGTGGCAGGTTCCTTTTCCCCACACACAGAGTAACCTCCCACAGTTACTCAACACTTTGTAAGAGGCATGAACTCTGCAGCACTGAGCACTTATCCCTGGTAATTGGTGGAGATAATGCTGCTAAGCAGCTGAGCTGGGCCTATTTATAAAAGAGCTACGGCTAAAACAGCAGCTCTGAGCTGGGCAGGTCCAGCCTCGACCTTGGGAGCTCTGCCTGGGAGGCAGGAAGGATGTCCCAGCTCTTCCCTCCACAGACTGAAGGGCCATAAGAAACAGAAGAGTTTTAGGTCCCTTTTGAGCTTGTCCTCCCCAACACCACCAGCAGAACAGTGTAGCTCAGCTCTCTAACCCAGGCTGTGTTCCCTCTCTCCCAGGGAAAATAAAGAGAAATGTTGGCAGCAACTTGAGAAAAATGAGCATAAAAACATTCTGCTTTTTTTTTTTTCTAATGAGGCTCTCAGTTCTTGGAAATACAGTTTGACTGGCTTTAGATTAACAAGAAAGATAATTTAACAAAACCGCTGTTGTTTGACAACTTGCACAGAAGATGTGCCTGACACAGAGAGGCTCTGTTCAGTCTCCACCTACACCCCAAACCTGCCTTCAGCGGGAGGTGTTTCCACAGAGCAGGAAACAATTAGCTAATTGTCTCTATTAACATCCAGCAGGGCTGAAGAACATAGTTCTTACCTCTCAGCCTCAATTTCAAATAGTCTCTGATGACTCAGAATTCCTGAGGAATCATGAGGAATAAAACTGTGCCACAAAGTTTTAAATTCTGTTGAAAATGGTGGCACGTGAGTGTGACAAACAAGTTATTTCTCAGTGGTCACCCAGTGACACAAAGGCAGAGAAATGTCCCCAGCATTGTGTTCATTGTTCAGGCTGATCACCAACACCTCCAGCCGTTACATAAATGTCATTATCCCGATTTTAGGACTGAACTGGATTAATGGACTTGCACAAGGGTTAATAAATCTGTGTCCCAGCTGAGATAAGCAATGGGGAATGTTGCCCTGTAGCCCCACACAAGCCAAGAGCCCTTCTCCCCAGCCAAGCAAGCCTGCAACCTTTGGCTCTCTGGTGCATTTGGTGGGCCAGCCTGGGTACTCCATGGCAGCAAGAGCTTTCTGTCCTGGCCCCTTTGCTCTGGGAGGAATCTTCAAACGTACGCCATTTGGGCAGTGGCACTGGCAGCTGGAGCTGTATAAATATAATTTTAATGGTCTTCATTAATTTTTAATTGTTTTAATTAACCATAACCAATGTATACCAGTTATGAATAGTTGGTTATTCTTAAATTAGTCTGGCACATTAGATTAAATTTCTCTTTAGCAAAGTTTCCATGAGCTACTTTTGCTGGAAGAGTTTGGGAAAATTACTGCAACTTAAGTTTTGATAACCTAACTTTGCTCATGTGCTTCAATGAACAAAGCCAGGGAGAGAAAGATGGATTGTTGAAATTGGAAATCTGGGATGCAGAACTTCTGGACCACGAGGACACTTTGGAGAAATAAGAAGATAAAGAAGAGACTAGGAAAGTCTCAGTATTCGTGAGGGAAAGTCCCCACCAGAGGAAAAAGGTCCTAAAAAGACTAAAAAAATATGGACTAATTAACAAAAACAGCAAGAAATCAATAACCAATAGGGGATAATTATTATAATTAATGAAAGTACTTATAATCGTTATAATTAATATATAATAATTAATTATAATTATTATAATTAATTAAATAGAATTAGGTAATTTAGAACCAAGGAACATGAATTTCTTTGTTTTCTAACAATGTATAAACAGGTGAACAAGTTTTGCATCAGGGTCAGTGGATTTTGTCAGTCACCCAGACACCTCCTAGCCAAAATTGAATTGATTCCTGACTCACTGACACTACAAAGACAAAGTCAGAGGGTTTTATTTATTTATTGTGATGATTTTGGAGGATTTGGTAGTAGGGGGAGAATCTCCTCTGTGTCTTTGTGCTGTGCCCTTGCAATAAAGTTTTCTTACAAGAGCAAAAATAGTGGGTTTTTTTTTAAACTACTGCAAAAAATGTCAGCAGAGCCCAGGCTGGGGGGAATGTTGATCTAGGATGTTGGGAAGGCTCCACAGGGATCAGGACAGGCTGGAGCAACGTGCCAAGGCCAATTCCTCACTCTGAGGAGCTGCCACTTTGGCTGGAGCAGGAATGTCTGGGGTGGCAGTTGCTCTGGGGTTTATCAGCTCCACGTTCCCAAGCCTGTGGTGATTCCAGCAGAGCCTGGATGAGGTGTCTCCACACCATTCCAAGCTCTTCTGTTTCCCTTGGAACAAGCCCATCAAGCTCCCAGTGCGATGGACATCCCAGGTTCCAGGCTTTGTCTGGGGAACTGTTGTGGGAGAGATCCCTTACATGCCAACAGCATTCCAGCCTGGAAGCTTCCTTAGGATTACAACCCCTCATGGGGGGCACATGGAACTTCAGTCTCAGTCATTTTCCCCCAGTAATTCTTCCACACTCGTGGAAAAGGACCTGGGGTTGCTGGTTGGCAAAAGCTGAGCAGAGAATCATGGATTCATGGAATGGTTTGGGTGGGAAGGGACATTAAGGTTCAGTTTGTTCCACTCACGGCAGGGACACCTTTGCTATCCCAGGTTGCTCCAACCTGGCCTTGGACACTCCCAGGGATGGGGCAGCCACAGCTTCTCTGGGAATTCCATCCCAGCCCCTCCCCATCCTCACAGGGAGGAATTTTTCCCAATATCCCACCTAACCAAGGACCTTCTGTAGAAACCAGAAGATAGGGAAAAGAATTAACAAAGAATTCAGTCCACGTGCTGGAAAGCCCCTTCTAGGAAAAAAGATACTAAAAATGTGGATTTAATTAACACAGAAATTGAGAAATCAATAACCAATAGAAGTGAAATACTGGTTAATGAAAGAGAATGATGTAATTAAGAACCAATGAACATTAATTTCTTTTCTTTATAAAATTTATAGATTTGGCCTGGACAAGGAATTAGGGTTGAGGGAAGACACACTTCACCCCACCCCTCTTCCATGTTTATGAGTTTATCTACACATTCCAACCTCCAGTGTCTCTGGGATGACACAAACACATTTACAGGGGGTACGTGGAAAAAAAAAAACAACACTGGATTAACTCAGCTGGAAAATATCCCAGAAATCCCTAGGTCAGTCCATTTGGCAATTCTTCTCTTTGCAGTCTCTGTCATCCCACGGCACCAGGAGCCCCAGTCCTGCATCCAGGTGACTCTGCACAACATTCCCAGGAGCCCCAGGGTGACTCTGCACAGAATTCCCAGCTCAGGAGTCCCAGTCCTGCATCCAGGTGACTCTGCACAGAATTCCCAGCTCAGGAGTCCCAGTCCTGCATCCAGGTGACTCTGCACAGAATTCCCAGCTCAGGAGTCCCAGTCCTGCATCCAGGTGACACTGCACAGAATTCCCAGCTCAGGAGCCCCAGTCCTGCATCCAGGTGACTCTGCACAGAATTCCCAGCTCAGGAGTCCCAGTCCTGCATCCAGGTGACTCTGCACAGAATTCCCAGCTCAGAAGGTCTCCGAGCCGACGCTCCTGCTCTCCTCCTGCAGCGGGGAGGCCGTGGTGTCCCCCGGGGAGGCCACGTTCAGGTAGCCCAGCTCTGAGGGCTGGGAGGGGGACAGGCCCAGGGAGGAGTCCTGGCTTTCGGCCTCTCCCTCAGGCTTCATGTCCTGAGGGGTCTTCATGGCGCCAAAGGGGTCTGGGAGATCCCGGGGTGGGAAGCTAGAAAGGAATTCCCACTGTTAAGTCGTCCTTCACACACCTCAAAGTCTTCTCCAAGGATCTCACATTCGTCACCCACCCCACAACCTTCTTCAGAGGATCTCACACCCCTCGCCCACCCCCAGAGCCTCCTCCAAGGACCTCATATTCCCTCATCCACCCCACAACCTCCTCCTGGCTCCTCCTGCTCCCCCCAAGGTACCTGGCACGGGGAGGTGGCACCACCTTGCTCTGGAGTTGGCGTTCGGAGACGTGAAGGGTCTTCGAGTCCTGGAAGAAGGAAGAGAGACTTTGAAAGGAGGAGGTGCAGGTCAGATCCTGAATTCCAACATATCCCGGTTTTCCAAGTCCTCCCCAGCTCCACTGAGAGTTCTCCCCATCAGCTCCAGACCCACAGAGGTACCAGTCAGGGATTTCACCTTTGGGTCTGAACTTAAACCAAAAAAAAAACCCCAAACCAAACCCCACCCAGCCCAGGGGAGCCCCAAACAGCCCTTTCCCCCTCATTTCCACCCCAACTGGGTTCCCTCCACATTAGAACATCCCAACAAACCTCCAAATCCACCTGGCTGGTTTGAAAGGTCCTTGATTTCTCCCTTTTTTCCCCCTTTCTCCCCCCAAAGCTCTTCCTCCAGCTCAGCCGAGTTGGGATCATCGCTCAGCTCGGCCTGAGGGTTTTGGGTGACAGAAGGAACATCCCCAACCCCTCTCCTCAGGGTTGATCCTCCTAATTTTGGAGCCAACTCTACAACTGAGGTCTTTGAACAGCTCCAGAGGTGCCAAGTGAGACTCCTGTCCCCGTGGAAAGGGGTCCCGGGGCGCAGCCCCTCAGGGACGAGGGGAGCAGGGAGCGCCTGGAACCTTCAGCTCCCCCCAAAGTCGGTGCAACCTCTCCCACGTTTGGGGCCCTTTCCATCCCATCCTGCTGGATCCAGCTCTCCCCCAGCCCCTCAGGGCTCAGCCCCTGCTGACCCCAGCCCCTGGGGGGTCTCACCTCCGGGGTGGGAGCAGGGCTGCTCCTGGGAACGCGCTGGGAGGGAGGCGCGTGGCCGGGGAGCTGCAGCCTGTTCTCCTCCTCCAGGAGCTTCCCTCTGGGGGTGGAAACAGGCACAAGTTATTTTCCTTCTGGCCACACTCTGTTTTCAAAGGGGAATTTCTCTTTTCGAACTCCAGACCCTCCTCCACAGTCTCCGGCTAAAGGTTGAGGATTTTGATGGGAAAATGGGCTAATTACAGCCCTAATTACAGCTGATATGGCTTTAATAAGAAATTATTAAATAACATTATTTTATTATTATTTTATTGATGTGTTATTATTCAAAATAATTTATTTAT